CATTTTTGTGAAGAAAGACCGTCCATCATTAAACAGAGGTGGAGGCCTCCATTTTCAGTTGTTCAGTTGTGGTTTTGGGATACAAGAGAAGTTATGAGGCATGAAAGTAGATTCAGAAAATGTCCGATCCATCTCATCTTTGAAAGAACACAACAAATGGCGACGAGGATGGGATTCAAACCCACGCGTGCAAAGCACAATGGGTTAGCATGGGGATCAGCTTCGTGCCCAAGCTGTTGCTGAACCAGATATGGAAGATGCTGAAAAAGGACAGATAAGCTTCAAGAAGTCTGGGAACTCACTAAGGAGTGGGATGCCAAGTGGAACGAGTGGAAGGCTGTTCAGTTTGCTAAGCTTCAGATGGAGAACATGAAAAGCACAGTGCAGGAGATGTTCAAGAAGCTTGACATCATTCAGAGAGAACTCAAGAGTAAACCAGGGGACATAGTGGACTGCGCCCAGAAGATTGAAGAGTTCATAAACCTCATTTCTCTGGTTGCATCGGAATAATCCGGCCATGAGAGACAGACACTGGAAGGAGCTCTTTGGGAAGGTGTAGTTTTCCTTTGACCACAGCAGTGCTGAATTCACCATGGTCGCAGATGAAAGTCTGAAAGCTTATCATAACAGGAGGGATGAATTGTCAACCGAGATGGGTTGTGTTTTGTGGGGAACCAGAGTAGAGATTCCCTCAAAAATGAGAAATGAGGTATTGGAGGAGATTCACTCTGGTCACCAGGGAATAGTGAAATCCAAGGCTTTAGCTCGCAAATACATCTGGTGGCCAAATCTGGATCAGGACCTGGAAAGGGTCTGCAAATCCTGTGAAACATGTCAGCTTGAGCAAAACATGCCCCAGCACGTGCCACTGCATCCTTGGGAGTTCCCCGGTGAGTCCTGGAAAAGGCTGCATGTCGACTTTGCTGGACCTCAGTGACTAAGCTAAGAAGACTGCTTCTTATGGACTCACTGAACAGTCTCAGACAATGACACCACTTTTACTTCTGAAGAGTTCCAGACATTTGTAACACAGAATGGCATTTTACATACAACAAGTGCAGGGCAGGGCTGTAGAAGAGTCTGACCTACACTGCGCCAGCCAATGGTTTTACGATACACCCCATATTTGAGGATGGGGCTCCTTTCAAAGAGGGGGTGTCAGGACATGCAAAAATGCTTATAACTCAGAAACTGTTCAACATAGGAGCTTCAGATTTCTTTTGTTGTTTAGCTCTGATGAAGCTCTATCCATCAGGCCCACAATCAGTGCGCCCCACCCCCCGGACCCCCAATTTATCTGAAAAAGGGGTTTTTTCGTACATTTTATTTATTTTTTTTCAGTGATTTTTGGTCAACCGTAGCCCAAAAACGGCTGCACCAATCAACATGAAATTTGGCAGGACTGTAGAAGAGTCTGACATACACTGCACCAGTCAACGGTTTTATGATAGACCCCATATTTGAGGAGGGGGCCTCTTTCAAAGAGGGGGTGTCAGGACATTGCAAAATGCTTATAACTCAGAAACTGTTCAACATAGRAGCTTCAGATTTCTTTTGTTGTTTAGCTCTGATGAAGCTCTATCCATCAGGCCCACAATCAGTGCCCCCCACTCCCCCAGACCCCCAATTTTCTGAAAAATGGGTGTCAGGACATGCAAAAATGCTTATAACTCAGAAACTATTCAACATAGGAGCTTAAGAT